AAATCAAAACCTATGATAAATGGACATAGGATATGAAGAGGTAACCCATAGGTTAGGAAATGCAAATGGATAATAAACATAGAAAAATTAATAAGTATAGCTTTAATTTTTCTGTTTCTTTACATTATACAGAGAAGGACAAGCCATTATTTTTGTCATTGATAGTAGTGATAGATTAAGAATGGTTGTGGCCAAAGAAGAACTTGATACTCTTCTGAATCATCCAGGTATGTGTGTGTGTCTTTCAGTCTATGTTATCTGTGCTTTAGGGTCCTTTTATGTGTGATATTTTTTTCTTTGGTATCAGCAAAAAGTATTTCTTATATAAACATCTTTTATTTAAAATTTTGAATTTCAAAACATCAGTTATATAGAATTTATAATATATTTACCTACATCATATTTTTTAAATTTTAAAGCTTTTTGCAGTGTTCTTGAGGTCTCTAAGCTTTATTTTGTCAAAAATAAATGTGCCCCTTTTTTTCTGATTACAGAAATATGTGACAATAGCAAAAAAAAAAATCAGATCAAAAAAGAATAAAGAAGAAAATTAAAATCTGTATTTCAACAGCCATTAAAATTATTTTGGTTTCTGTATTTTCATGCATTTTTCTGTGTGTATGCGAGTATGTGTCTATCTTCCAAGATACAAGTATTTTGGTATTTTTTCTTTCATAGTTTTTTAATCTACCATACCATACATACACGCATGCATGCACGCATACACCCAGCCCCCCAAAATATCTAGAGGGCTGAGGGCTTTGGGGACTGTCTTTGTTATTTACCAAAATGGGATTATATTTACACTTTTTTGCATCTTCCCATTCTCAGCACTTCATGATGGAAATATTTCCAAGACAAATCGCATACAATTATATAATTGTTCTTTTTAATGATGCCTAATGTGGTGTACTATGAACATACCACAGTTTATTCAGTCATATACCTTTTCATGGATATTCTTCCCCTACCTCTTCCCCCACCACTACAGACAATGCTCTAGTAAGTATTGTGGAACTCTGCATTTCTACCCTTATTCAAGTCAAAAAGATTAAGTTGTGTTTGTGCCAGGACTTTTTAAAAAGAATAATGGTTTAAAAGAATTGTGGGTTTGTTAGAAATGGAATGGAAATAGTGTGGGGCATTCTAACAGTTCTTACGCTTAACCACAGCATGTTTCGTATCTATTGGATAACCTCAAGCTTTTCAAATTTTTGGAAAAAAACTTACCCAGCCTATACTTTTTATGTGACTTTTTCACTTTAAAACTTAATCAGTTTTGTATCTGAGTTGATAATGCATTTTTGATTATGCATTCCCTTTGTGTTAATCTTTCCAATTTCTCCCAAAAAGTGTTGGAATGTTGACCAATAAAAGGAAATAATTCCTACAAAATCTGTTTCAGAAACAATGAGAACATTGGCTTCCTCGATTGAAGCTTGTGCATGTATCTTTATGTATTAATTCTTTTATATTATGGGATAGATTCGCAAGGGAGGAATTTCTGAGCTGAAATCTTTATGAACTTTTTAAAAAAAATGGAAGGTGATAAAAAGTCTTTGAATAGCAAAATGTACCATGTGCAGTCAAAGGCAAAACAAAATATTGCAACACGTATCATAGTTACAGGGCTATTTCTTTACTACCTGTGTTCCTACAAATCAATACAAAAATAAAAGCTTAATAGAAAATGGGGAAAAGATATGACAAAATAGGTCAACAAAAAAGTAAATTTAAACTTGTTTTGGATGTATGGAAAGAATATTCTTGGCCTTTCTCAAAAAAAATGCAAGTACACAC